TTCATGAAATGCCTTCGTCATCGACGTACATGCAAAAATAAAAAAAGAAAAAGAAACCAACGGCGAAAGCCGGCGAATCGGCGAATCCCGACAGAGCCGTTTTCGCGACGCGGACATTGTCTTAGCAATTACGACGAGTCATTTCGTGTATTTCGAGTTGATTGACATTCGCGAGACAAATCCGTAAATATCAGCAAGAATATCAGCAGGAAAAAAAAAAGGAGCCGTACAGTTGTCCCAAATTGTTGTCGCGTGCGAAGATATCATTCGCGAAATTGATCCGGCGCAAAGCAATTTATCTCCGAGACAACGGTTTGCATAATTCATCCACCCCAGGCAGAGTAACCGTGGGGAATCTCGCTGAGCGTGGCGGAGGGGCGGGAGGGAGATGGGGGAATATAACGCATCTTCTATTTTTAATGATGATTTTGCAAGATCGATGAGACTTGCCGACGGTTTCGACATGAGTTTCGCTCTGATATCACCGGCAGTAACGCAACGTAACGCAACACGAGAGATAATACACGAAGACGCCGCCGCTGCAATTAACTGCCTGCGTAAGTTGGCCGGCCCTCGGCCGACCCTCTCTTGCCCTCGCGGGCGGCGGTGGCGACAGCAGCGGCGGCAACGGCTGCGACGCGCCATTAGATTATGCATCGACGACGTTGTAGTGCCAGTTTATTACCGTGTTACTACGCATAGCGACGAAGGATGTAGAGGGTGGCGCACATTGCGGCGCACAGTTCCTGCGGCCTGTGGAAGATTAGTTATCGAGGTAACTCGAAGAAGACTCCTAAGACTGCGGAGAGCGACGCTGCGTTCGCCCGAGGCTTCGCGGAATTTTGGGAGCAATATATTCCGGAATTTTTGAGGCAATCGAGGGAAGGGATAAAAGAGAGCGAAGGAGCAGTCATTTTCTAAATACAGAAATGCGAACGTCGCGCGAAAACTTTTCTGGCAGTAAGAGCTAATCAAGCTGGAATTTTTTGATTCTCAGATGGAGGACAGCGAACGAAACGATAAAAGGATAACGGAAGACAATATATGACAAAAATTTTTAGATAATTGAAAGAAGAAAGGAAGATATAATGGAGATACGGAGTAATGATTTTTAAAGGACAAAAATCCTAATTACATTGCGACAGGCCTTCCTGGAAATTAAAGCTGGATTAGCTGGATTATTTTGCCTTCACATGACAGCAAACGAAACGATAACAGGATAATGGAATACTATATGTTCCGAAATATTTTAGATAACCGAGAGAGAAAAGGAAGAACAGAGCAAAGGAGATATAGAACGATTTTATTTCAAATACAAAAATTCAAACATCACGGAAATTCTCGTGGAAATTAAAGCTGGGACGTTTTAATGATAAAGGAGACGGCACTGTTTCATCTTCAAATTTTTACCTTGAAATTATTGAAACGATAAGGGGATAACGATCATAATGAAGAGAGGAAACAGGTGAAGTCTGAACGGGTCTTTAATGGATTGTTTAAGGTGGTCTGCCTGGAGGTGAAATGTAAAAAGGGGGTCCTGCGTATGACTTATCGATTAGTTTCTCGGGCATTAGGCGACGCCTTTTTCCTAGCCCGATGCGAAATTAATACCGCCGCGCCAATTTCGGTCCCGGATAACGGTAGTTTCCTCCATGTCCTTCCATATTGACGAGCGGTGGAAGGATATCGGCCGGTTATTAATTTTTCTCTCCCGATGTATAGGACGGCGCACGCGCGCACGTTCGCACAATCAGACGCTATTCAACGGACTGCGAATGCTGCAGCTTCATCAGCTTTTGACTTTTCACAGTCCGCTTTGAGATCGACATCAAAGACGCAACAGAATCAAAGACATACCGCGTTTCATTGTGCGCGTCCGCGCGAGATCGCTTAACTTCTTTTTCTACGGCTAGCATGAATTCCGTGGATAACGAGACGAGAAGTGGAAACGGGGCACGGCCGCGCAAGAAAGCGCGCGGTTTCTTTATTTCACTACCCTTCGAGAAGTCTCCGCCCTCCCCCCCCCCGCTCTTTCCCTCCTGCCTCGACGTTAACCGTGGATATTCTTCTCGTTGCATTTACGCTGACGAGAGAACGAGGCGTCTCTGTCGACCCGAATGGAAAATCGAGCTCCTGGATCTTATGTAAGAAAGAAAGCACAAGGGCTGTGTAAATAGAAAATGCGATGAGACGATAATAAGAATAAAATATTAAAAACAATCGCGTATTTGTTCCATCTTTGTCCTCGGACTAGGGATGCCGATTTTAAATCGATTTCAAATCGATTTTCTGGAACTGAATCGACTCAAGGATCGATCTATAAATTCTGAAAATCGCCAATACACAATTTTTTTCAGTTTTTACTGGTAATATAGTTTTTTCTTAATTCTTTTAGTTGTAACATTTGGGGTGCTTACGATAACGAGAGTGGAGCGAGTGAGATCTGGATCTGGAGAGAGCAGTACACACTTCCATCTACAACTATTATATTTCATGGCTGCTCCTAATCCTATTCCTTTGCTGTCTCATAGCGGCCTAGTTTACATCGTCAAAACGTTGGTACGCGTATCAAGTTTGGTGCGCACCAATGTTTTAGTACGGATACGTTTACATCGAATGTACTAAAGAAGACAAATAATACGAATAATAATAATAAAAAATAAAAATATAATATAAATAATATATATTATAATATATTATAATATATTAATTATATATAAATAATATATATTATAATATATTATAATATATTATTTATATATAATATAAATAATAACTTAACCACTAATGAATGAAAAATATTAACATGTTTGTGTTTTTTCCCATCCATTAATGCAATAATCTGCTTCTCCGTGCATAATTCTAAAAATATTCGCGTTTCTTCTTCTTTCCAATTTAGTCCTTTTCTACAAGACATTTTAATGTAATATCGTTTAATCAAAGATTAATAACAATACCGGTTTTAATTGAGATTATGCTCAATGCTAAATTACCTTCAAATTGCATTTTATGCGTTTATATCGTCATTTGTATCAATTGATACGCGTATCAATTTAGTACGATACTCCTACTTGATACGCTCGCATCAAGTTGATTCGACAGCGTTTACATCATGCGTACTAAATATTTAGTACGAATTTGGTACGAATATAGTACTTAATACGCGTATCAAGTGCACGATGTAAACTAGATCATAGACAGGAGCGAGCAGGAGCCGATCGTCTTGTGTGTATACATAACAGAAAGCTAACGTATGCCATATATTTTATTTTTTATTGAAAGAATTATACTTATATATCATATGCATTTATAAATTTATTAATTCAGAGAATTCAAAGAATTATACTTATATATCATATGAATTTATAAATTTATAAATGCATATGATATATAAGTATAATTCTCTCAATAAAAAATGAAATATATATAAAATAAATTTATAAAAAAATGAAGTATATAAAATGAATTTATAAATTTATAAATGCATATGATATGTAAGTATAATTCTTTCAATAAAAAATAAAATATGGCATACGTTAGCTTTCTGTTATGTATACACACAAGACGATCGGCTCCTGCTCGCTCCTGTCACTATGAGACAGCAAGGGAATAGGATTAGGAGCAACCATGAAATATAATAATTGTAGATGGAAGTGTGTACTGCTCTCTCCAGATCCAGATCTCACTCGCTCCACTCTCGTTATCGTAAGCACCCTTTCAACTCACTCAATGGCTGCACAATGCACATTACGTTACCTTTAGGCCGATGTCGCATGGACGAAAATATTCGGCGGGACGGAATGCGCGAACCAATCACAGCCATTCCATATAATAGTATACATCGTATACATATGTATATGTATACAATAGTAAACGTGATTTCTTATTTAATAACGTTTAAAAACCCTTGATTAACGTCTAATCAAACTAATTACATCTTTAGCATAAAGATTTCAAGATCTTTTTCTATTTTGTTCTGGCCACGCACACACGTACAACACAATCAAAAGAGTACCATCTGTTTAATTTCTTTAATTCATATTAAACTTTATATGAATTACACGAGGTCTGCTTCAGAGTGCAGAAGTTTGACAGACATACTTATACTTTAATGTATACTTTAATGAGTGGTTCACTTTACATACATACTGATTCAAATCGATTTTCTGAAATCGATTCTTTACAAACCGTTTTTTCAAAGATCGATTTTTTCTCCGTGATTCGAATCGATCTTTAAATCGATCTATTTGAAAAAAAATCGGCATCTCGGACGCCAATTGCGTTTTTTTCATATTCGCAATTACGGAAAACCCCGAACAATTACCGCGCATTTTTCCTCCGCGGCATGGTCAAGCGGGCTAAAGTATCCCCTCACTCATTTTAATTACAAAGAGGTCCACGGGCTCGTTATGCCCGGCGGCTTGTCATTATTATTGTCATTTTATTATTGCGAAAGCGCTCGGACACGCGAGGCGGCGTATCGTCGATATAAAAGTCGAAGATAAAAGCTTGCCTCTCGTCACGTGATTCACCGCGCCGTTACCGGTGGCTTGATAATAGATTTTTAATCGAATTCCTCGCAGGGGTAGGGGTTAGCTTGCGAGTTCCGATTATGTGACCGTTATATCAGAGCGCTCGCATCGCTAAATCGTTGCATCTCTGCATGTATGTGTGCGCATGTGCATGAGCGAATTGTCAAATGAAATTCTTGAATTCTCGATCAGCGAATACCTCGCTTCTCTCAAAGCTTCCCCTTCGCCCCTCCCCCCGAACGTGTTGTCACGGATTACTCGACAGCCCGGAATTGTCACAGCGCGAATTCCTCGCGTTTTATTCCATCCCCCGTAGTGAATCGGGATTTTAGAGACACCCTTGCGGCGCACGTACATCGCAGTAAACAAAGTGCTCTTCGCTTTTTTCCAATAAGCTATCGCGACTCCGAGGGAACGGTTCGACGGACTAATACTAATACCTCTCATTTCCACGACGTGCCTCCGCAGCATGTCGCCGCGCAACGGCTCTTGCGTGGCAGAGGTGAGCTCCGTGAGGAGCCTCTCGTCGGATGACGTCTCGGCGACCAAGGCGAACCGGAAGAAATCGTGTTGGGCTCGCGCGACCGACCCGGCCCATCGCCGCGGCCGGCGAATTCAGCTGCTGCAGATGCTGGTGCTACCCTTCATACCGATCCTCGCCCTGATCGTGCAGACTGCGAACACCCTCCACGACATCCTGATCTATCGCCAGGAGGTGTCCGACATAGAATCGCAGGTGAGCGATGTGCTCGATGCATATATTTTCTTTAATCTTTTCAGAATTATTAGCACGCGTATGTGTACGTCCAGATATGCTCAATTCTTTTTCTTTCTTATTCGAATATTTCACTGACTTTTGGAACTTTCAAAATCATCAAATTCAACAACAGTCAGGGCGCTATTGTAACAATATGTTCTTGAGACCAAATAGAGCAAAAAGATCAAGTACCACTTTCTCTTCCGACAAATAGTTAGAGAGATGAGTTAAACATTAAAAAAGTTATCAAGTTTTCCTTAAATATCTTAAAAAATATTAGGCAAATAAAAAATGTTTCAGACAAAAGTTATTTAAATTAATTGGTAGAAGAAAACGGTGTAATAAAAAATTGAGGTTTCCATTTAAGAAAAGTAATGATCAGTGAATATCTCGAAAATGATGCCATTTGTAAACAAAATAGTATAGTTGTTTTATGTCCCCCTTGAAATCATACAACTTTTGTCCGAAATATCTTTGCTAAAAATGCTTCGTTGAAGAATTATCGAAATGCATTTTTTAAAATGGAACATCCTCTATAACGAACATTATCGTGGATAAACGTTTGTCACGAAACTCCACAAAAAGAAGCAGAGAAATCTTGCCGTATGATTAACAATTAAGATGCCTTAATTGTATTGCTTTAAAATTAAATCAGTTTTTTTTTTGGCTCTTATAAATTTGTCCATGAAGAGATTAAGGGAAAGTAAACGATATATTGCCGGACGTGTCTCTTCATCCGAAGATAAAGAAGAATTTGAAAATTCAGAAGTTCTTTATATGTTTCACACGCTAATAAAATAAGCTTACATACTTCAGCTTTCCATTAATTGTACAATTAAATCACCGAATCTCGCGAGTCTTTGCAAAAATTCAGCAATTTTGGATCTACATTGCGTTAGATGTCCGGCTATCGGGACGTTTACCTTCACGAAGGACACTGGCCGGAGCGACCTTCACGAACGAGGTAGCTCCGAGTCCACATGAAGGTTTTTCGGAAAAATATGGCACGTTGAGGTGATTCGATGGGCGCAACAGAGGCGACGGGATGAAGGGCTGATAGATGGCGTGCATCCCATTGAAACTTTGGTTTTACCAACCAGTTTGGATGGAAAATGGCTCGAAGTTATACACGTACGCGCTCATGCGCACGAGCGCGTGCGTTGCGCCCTAATAATGATGCAATTATATTGGGAGTACAAATTAGTTCGGTCCGCTTTTTTTGTGTTAAAAGATGTATTTATTTCAAAACAAAATGAATGAACAGATCAATTAAAGTATTTTCCATCGCTGGCTACTACTTTCTCCCATTTCTCAGGCAATTTTCGAATTCCATCTCGAAAAAATGACTCGTCCTTTGAGGCGATCCAAGTTTGGAGCCAATTTTCGATATCTGCGAAAGAAGTGAACCGGTGACCTGCCAAATCGTGCTGTATCCTTCGGAACAATCAGTAATCAGAAGGAGCAATATCCGGAGAATACGGCGGGTGCGGTAAAACATCCCATTTGAGCGTTTCCAGATATTTTTTTACGACTTTTGTGACATGAGGCCGAGCGTTGTCATGAAGAACGCCTTTCAACGTCTCTCGGTTTCAGTTCATAAGGCACCCAATTTCCTTGTTTTTGAATAATTCCCATGTCTCTCGATCGTACGGAAACGGCTTGTTGAGTCACTCCCAATGATTCTGCAAGCTCCTCTTGCGTTTGACTCTGATCTTCTTCGAGTAACGCCTCTAATTCTTTGTCCTCGAATTTTTTTGGCTGTCCAGAGCGAGGCTTGTCTTCGACGCTGAAATCTCCATCCTTGAAACGTCGAAACCATTCCCTACATGATTTATCAGTTGGAGCAGCGTCACCATAAACTTCAACAAGCATTCGATGGACTTCAGCTGCACTTTTCTTCCAGTTAAAGCAGAAAATTAAAACCTCCCGCAAATGCTGCTTGGTTAACACAAAATTCGACATTTTCAACACTGTAAAAAGCAAGGTTTTTGTATGAAACTCAAAACGATATAAACTGAATATTATTGGCAGATGTCTAACCTCTCTGAAACCGCCAAAATCGGCAATCACTATGAACCATTCATAAGCCATCTTTTGAAAACGGACCGAACTAATTTGTACACCCAATACATAAAGAATGCAATTTTGTACATATCTCAACTTTCCCTCAATTATCCAGTCTCGCGAGTCCTTGCGAAAATTGAACAATCTCAGACTTGCGCGGTCGCGTTCAATACTAAAGTGAGATATGAATTTTATACATATTAAATTTATATTATATAAATTGAATTGGTATAAAAAATTCAACCGGAGGAATAATCGATCGTCGCGATGATTCATACGAAGGTAACGAAAGAAGGATAGAGCAAATACACCGCACCTACGCTTGCACGTCACCGAATAGAGCGCGTCGCGCCATAATCGAGGCGCTTCTACTTAAACTGCGAGCGATTAATTTCCGCGAGCCCCTCCTCCTCCCTTCCTCCTTCTCCTCCTGCTCCTCGTCCACCTTGTAGCCAAATTTCACGTGAGTGCTGGGGAGAGAAGGAGAGACTCCTCGTATATGAAACGGTAATGTTTATCGAGCCAACAACGAGCTCTCTGAGCGAAACAGTCGGATGAAAATCCCATGCGCGGTTTATGACGATTAAGTAAATAACTCGTCGCGTACGTCCGGTGTTTTGCTTTATTCTATTCTATTCTGCGAGCTCGGAGCTGAAACGAGCAGCCGGCTTCTAATTTCGGAAATAGCAGGAAACGTTCAGCAATCGGCACTCTTTGCGTCGCATACGAGTGTGTCAGTTTTCGGCACTCTTGCGCGGATTTCATCAAATTCATCGTCGAGGAGTGTGTATGGACGAAAAATAAACGGATGAACAAATAATGACTGATGCTTGATAAATAACTGATAAATTTGATTGACGGATCCTCATACACGTCGTGATACTTGCTGAAATTCGCGCATGGATGACGAAAACTGTCAGAGTGCTGGACGTTTCAGCCTACGCTCGCGTTTCGTTCGACCGTTTCGAATCGCGCCGGCCACAAGATAGCGCCGGCCGATTTCTCTCCGCGTTCAAGCTATAACGGCCGTTGTTAATGAAAACATCGGGCACTCGTTGGAAATCGCCAGGCGCGATTCGATTTCCGATCGACGCAGCAGCACCCTGAGCGACGAGCAACATCAGCAGCGCCCTGAGCGGGGAGAGAAATTACGTTACGGCCGTTCGCGCGACGAGCCGGCTATTTTTATTTTATTCTCTCTCACGCACGTTCGGATTATCGACTCGTGTGCACGTCGCCGTCGCCCTTTGCTACTTTGAGGAGAGTGCGCGCGCGTGCAGAGGATGATGAAATAAAATAAGAAAACTATGCGAGGAGGGACAGTGACGTAACCGGCGCTCAGCCTCCCCCTGGCAAGGAAGCTTTCATTTCAGAAGATCGAGTGACGGATCTCGTGAATTTCGAAGAGCCGAAGATCTCTCTCAACTAAACAGCATTCAAAGATACGTGAAATTAGAACGTCGCTTCGTTCCCTTGTCCGCGCGAAAGCGCGGTTAAATATGCCCGCGGCAACATCAACACAATCATCTTCACTCTATAATTCAGCGACGCGTCTCCTCTTTCAGTCACGTCGATTTTAAAATTTCCAAGTTCGTCAAGGTCAATTTTTGATCGGACGTGAGCGTCGCGCGCGCACATCGTCTTGGATGTAGATTATTATCGCGTCGCGTTCTCCCCCTTGTGCCTTTGACAGACGAACAGAAAATTTCCATGCGCCGCCTAATAACCGGCCTCCCCCATCTCTTACAAGGGTATTAAAACGCAGTACTCGGCACGAGGCGAGCAGAAAGGTGGATCAAATTGAAATTCATCGCGACAGGGTGTAGCGCTCGAACGCGGTCTTCGATCTCGAGTTACTGTTTGACAAGCGTCGAGAGAATGGATGCCATTCGTCGTCGATGTCGGATGTTTGTTCGCGGTCGTTCTCGCCCGTGCGACCCGCGCCGAGTGTTTCGCACACGTCGATGCACCTTGCTCCGCCGACACACCCTTTTGCAATTTAACGCGTCGCGCCGCGAGGAAGCTTGGAAATTTTCTCGCTTTTTCGGCGGCGGAGCTCGGCCAAAAGTTCGAGAAGTCTTTCCGCCTGGAAAGCCATCCTTCGGCTCGACGTCCGCGTCCATCGAAATTACATGCAACCGCAATGTAGCCGCAAGCCCTGCCGGATCTCAGGCGAGAAGCAAGTTTCCGATTAACTGGATTTATAGGAACTGAGAAGAAGATATCTGAAAGAAGAGAAATTTATCTGGAAGAAGAGAATTATTTATCCGATGAGCATTAATAACGTATCTACTAATGTAAATATGTATACATGTGTATGTAAATATTAACGTACATATTTTGTAAACTGAGAGGAAAGTTTTTTCAAATACGGGAATGTATTATATTTACTTAACATCATAGCTCGCTACGAAAAAAGACATTTGCTTATCTTGTTTCTATAAATAACATCATTTCAAATCGAGGTAAATATATCATTAACCCTTAAAAACTACCATCTCAAATATCACCTCGAGCTAATTTTTCTTCTTATTGTTTACGGCAAAGTATATGTAAGGATTGATCTATTTTATCATAATGTTATCATTATTGATTGTGTGAACAAATATCTAGAAAATTAGTGTTGTCAGTGTGATTACGTTTTTTGAACAGGATCAAAAATTCGCATGGGGTGAAATTTCAGTTATGGTAGCATTTAAGGGTTAATATACACCGAGGATTCTGTCACTGTCCGAGGCGATTCTAATACGATGACCGAGCGCGCATAACAAGTGACGTAAAGGGTTACATACACCTAAAAGGCCGAAAAACAGGCCAAATTTTGACATTTTATTCCTGCTAAACGGGTAGTGGAAATTACATGAAATGTTGTGTAATTGTAGACTTATGTTTTGACAATATAAATATATATATAT